GTAAATAACCAGGGGTGTGTGTTTACATTTACATTTACATTTACGTCATTTAGCAGACGCTCTTATCCAGAGCGACTTACAGTTAGTGAGTGCATACATTATTTTTTTTAATTTTTCATACCCGCGTGGGAATCGAACCCACAACCCTGGCGTTGCAAACGCCATGCTCTACCAACTGAGCTACATCCCTGCCGGCCATTCCCTCCCCTACCCTAGACGACGCTGGGCCAATTGTGCGCCGCCCCATGGGTCTCCCGGTCACGGCCGGCTACGACAGAGACTGGATTCGAACCAGGATCTCTAGTGGCACAGCTAGCACTGCGATGCCTTAGTTTAGAAACATACCCCTGTGTCTGCAACCAACAGGTCTGAACTGGCCCTGCTAGGACACACACACACACACAGACAGGACCGTCCCATGGCCTCACCACATTCCTGTGTCTGTGTGTCGGGTTGACTGTGTTACTCTGGTGTTCCGACCCTTTCCTCCTCTCCCTGACCCCCCAGGGATGGAGTGACTGGGCCTTGGTGTAATTGGCCAAGTGAAATTCAAACTACTGCTTTGAACTTTGCCCTCACTCTTCCCATCCCACACATACACACGCAATTGACCACTCAGAATGATGTGCGTGGGACGGGGAGAGTGAGGGCAAAGTTCACAGCAGTAGTTTGAATTTGTAGATTGAACACAGAAGTGAGAAGGCATTTTATCAGCTGTGTTGTTATGGTTACCAACATAAAAAATGACTACAGTTTACTGTAGAAATCTACAATACTTATTGTAGAATTATATAGTAAACTGTAGTATATTGTAGAATACTATACTACACACTGCAGTATCCCTCGATCATGTGTAGTGCTTACTATAGAATGTTGTAGTATACTGACGAATACTATAGTAAATTCTAGTGTATTAACCAGAGAAAAAAAACACTGTAGTAAATATTACAGTAATATCCGCAAAAACACTACAGTCTGCAAAAACATTACACTTTTTTAACTATAGTAAATAGAGTATATAATTTGCATGTACCCTGCCCATTCCCCTCCCCCATATCGCAATTTGTGCCACCAATAAGTGAGAAACCTACATGCCAAGTATAGACCATATATTGTGTTCCCTACAGGTTATAGAAAACAGCAGTTCTGAACTATCCGTTCAGACCCCGGTCCTACCTACCTACAGGTTATGGAAAATTAGCTTTCTGAATGAGAAAACCTCCACTTCTATGTCAAAAGCACTACAGTAACTACTACAGTCCGCAAAAACACTACAGTAAATTCTACAGTATAGTACAGTCCGCAAAAACACTACATTCATAACTATAGTATACAGTATACTACAGTTTTCTTTTACTACAGTATTTATACTATAGTTAACTGTACAGTATACTACAGTGAATACAGTAAAGTCCCCAAAACACTACAGTGAATACTATAGTATTTATACCATAGTATACTATATAATTTTTTCATGTGGGTAGTGTGCGTTATTAGGTGTAGTGTTATGACTAGGTTTTGTAACCTACCTCAGTGTTTCCCCTAGGAATTCTACACATTTTGCAATGTGGCTGAGAGAAAAATTGCAGTTTTTCAGCAAATTTCCTGCAATTCTACACATTTTGCCATGGCTTATGCCATATTTTTATGCTATCTGAGTGACTCAAAGATTATCACAAAATTTTTTGAATTTTAGATTCTCCCTGACTGTCTATTTTTATTTTGATAATTGTTAGTTCTCAAAGATGATCTCCCGAGTGGCGCAGTGGTCTAAGGCACTGCATCGCAGTGCTAGCTGTGCCACTAGAGATCCTGGTTTGAATCCAGGCTCTGTCGTAGCCGGCCGCGACCGGGAGACCCATGGGGCGGCGTGCAATTGGCCCAGCGTCGTCCAGGGTAGGGGAGGGAATGGCCGGCAGGGATGTAGCTCAGTTGATAGAGCATGGCGTTTGCAACGCCAGGGTTGTGGGTTCGATTCCCACAGGGGGTATGAAAAAAATAAAATAATAATAATAATAATAATGTATGCACTAACTGTAAGTCGCTCTGGATAAGAGCGTCTGCTAAATGACAAAAAACAAAAACAAAATGTTATTAAAAAGATATAGCTCCATTATCTTTTCTACATACTCTATATCTGGTTTTAGTCGTTTAAGTTTACACTGAAAACGTTTTACCGGAAATAATAATAATAAAACATACATATTTTTGTTTAATGTAGGGGAAACACTGTACCTATCAGGCATGGGGTTATGGTGAGGTTGGACAGCCATGAGGTGTGGTTCCCAATACCAGGCTAGTTCCTGGTTCCTGCTTTTCTGTCTTAGACATAGCACAGCACATGGTGACACAGGGTGTCTGTGGAAGTGGGTCAGACCCTCTAATGTGATTAGCAGGATAATGGAGATGCTAATCAGCCTCCTGTGTGTGTGTGTGTGTGTGTGTGTGTGTGTGTGTGTGTGTGTGTGTGTGTGTGTGTGTGTGTGTGTGTGTGTGTGTGTGTGTGTGTGTAAATCACTCCTCTATTTACTATAGTATGCTATGTACTGCTTCTCCTCTGTGACTGTGGAGTGACAGAGGCATTTAGCAGTTTTGGGTATAAACAGTGCACTTGTATTTACCCAATTCCTCTCTCTTTCTCCTAGTAGGTGGCTATAGGGGATCAGTAGTCTGGGAAAGTACCAGTATTTTAGTGTTTTGGGCTGACCTTTTGGTTTCAAGTTCTGGTGTTATGCAGTTTGTGTGTGTGTGTGTTGTAACACTGGGGGTTCTGAATTGGGGGTTTGTTAAAGAGAGTGACGATCACGTCCAGCTCTGTGAAAACACCTCTTGTTCTCCGCTGGAATAAAAGGGAGGGAGGGAGGGAGTGAGTGAGGGGGAGAGAGGAAGAAAGGGAGGCATGGAAGGGCATTGCAATGTGCTGTTAGCTGAGACTTCCGCTGCCATGTGAGCACTGCATGCAAATCACACCGCACAAACAAGTACACAGGAGCAAGGGTCACAGCACTGTTCCTCAGAGAGAGAGAGAGAGAGAGAGAGAGAGAGAGAGACTACTCACAGCGCTTATACCTACATGTTTGTGTTTGTTTGTCAGTGTGTGTTCACTTCTGTTTGTTTGCACTTTTGCCTGTGTCTGTACATTTTATGTGCCTCTGAGTCTTTCTATGGGTTTTATGTTTGTTTTACAGATGTAGAATCTTAATTTGATCACTCTTTTTTTTGCTCAGGATTTTCCTGCACGGCAGGAAATGTAAACTTGTAGTGTATTCAAGGTTTCAAAAGGCTTTCCACTATAAAATGTCAGACTTCATTTTCCCTAACAAAAAATGTATCAACCCTATAAAGAATGTCCATTAATTATAATCCATATAATAATTCACATTTCCTGTTGCTGCAGGATTATTTTCCTACTGTAGCAAACTGGCTCAAATTAAGATCCTACATCTGTGAGTGCTGTTTTCTTAGGTGTGGGTTTTGTGGGTTGGTTCTTACATCCTTGTGGGGACCTAAAAATCCCCAAAAGTCCCCACAAGGATAGTAAAACAAGGAAAATTCACCCTCGTGGGGACATTTCCCACGTCCCCATGAGGACAAAGGCTATTTTAAGCTTAGGGGTTAGGTTTAGGGTTACAATTAGGGTTGGGGTTAGAATTAGGGTTAGGGTTAGGGTCAGGGGTTAGGGTTAGAAGTTAGGTTTAGGGTTAGGTGTTAGGGAAAATAGTATTTTGAATGGAAATTAATTGTAGGTTCCAACGTAGATAGAAGAACATAATGTGTGTGTGTGTGTGTATGTGTGTGTGATTTATGAGGTTGGAATGGGAGCCACAGGAGGGAAAGGTCAAACGGTGTATCCCCACTCTTTTACCAAGTATGGAATAAGTGCTCTTCATCAAGGGGGAATGGTGTGTAATGTGTGTGTGTGTGTGTGTGTGTGTTTGTCAGCTGGGAGCAGGTGCTTTTGTGGCAGGGGGAAAATAGTGGCATTTAGCACTATGCAGCTGACGGAGTACAGTCTCCAATGACAACAAACACAGACCTATACCAGCGCTAACTGACACACCAACAACACAGTCACGCACACACACATATTTTTCAATGGAAGAGATAGCGAGAGCATAGAGGGACAGAAAAAGGAATGCATTTCTATGCCTGTATGTGTAATTTACTTGTAGATACATATGGCAACCTAATTAACCAAACCCCTCCCCTCTCTGTTTCTCTTTCTCTCCATTCAGACTGAACACTGATGGGACCGCCCCCCTCCTACACCCCATGTTCCTCGCTCCCTCTCTCTCGCTCTCCTGGCTGTGAATGAGGGATCAAGCTGCAGCCTAGTGACGAGGTCGCCACGCAGACAGCTGGACCGTGTGCTGCGGTAGACAACCTTTAACCTCCACCATCCCCTCCCCAGGGGTCAACGGGACCACCATCGTCACGGCAATGTGGACACTCCCCCCCCCCCCCCTCCCCCCTCCCCATGCCTCCTTTCCTTCCCACTCTCGGCACCCAAACATTAAGGGTCCGTCGTTGCTGCTCTTTGAACAACTACAAACACTTAAAGGACTGTCTCATCGATGATTATCTATGTAGATACAAAGTTACTCCTGCAAAATTATTATTGTTATTATTATTCCACTGGTTTTCGTTTGGCTTTGGCTGACTTTAAAAACCTGTGAACCAAACCTAGAGATATTCCACACACTCCCACTCACACACACGTTATACATACGTACACATCACATATTTATTTATTTATATGTGTGCACTTTGTTGTGGATGTGTACACTAAATTTGTACTGAAGACAGGTGGCATTTTACGAACATATTCAGTATATAACAATGTACTGAGTTAGCAGTTGTTAAAACCCCTACCTCAGAGCAAACCAGGTTAGTACTTATTTACACACCAGAAATATATACAAAACATTAGGAACAGTGCTCTTTCCATGACATAGACTGACCAGTTGAATCCAGGTGAAAGCTATGATCCCTTATTGATGTCACTTGTTAAATCCACTTCAATCAGTGTAGATGAAGGGGAGGAGACAAGGTAAAGAAGGATTTTTAAGCCTTGAGACTGAGACATGGATTGTGTATGTGTGCCATTCAGAGGGTGAATGGGCAAGACAAAAGATTTAAGTGCCTTTGAACGGGGTATGGTAGTAGGTGCCAGGCGCACCGGTTTGAGTGTGTCAAGAACTGCAACGCTGCTGGGTTTTTCACGCTCAACAGTATTCCGTGTGTATCAAGAATGGTCCACCACCCAAAGGACATCCAGCCAACTTGACACAAATGTGGGATGCATTGGAGTCAACATGGGCCAGCATCCCTGTTCAATGCTTTCGACACCTTGAGAGTCCATTCCCCGACGAATTGAGGCTGTTCTGAGGGCAAAAGGGGGTACAACTCAATATTAGGAAGGTGTTCCTAATGTTTTGTACACTCAGTTAATACAGAGATATATTTATTTACTTTCAGAGGTGAATGTTTTTATGAACACCAATCCAAAGCCTTACTTATCTACTGTCCGCTGTTTCTGACGGACATTTAGTTTGGACCTATAAACACGCAGAAAATCTGAGACTTAAACCGATCGCCATGGAAATTGAATTTTTGTCTGAGCAGCCGGAGAGGAAGAAATCTTTCCTCTTTCCCTCTGCTTCCTAGATTCCTGAGATTATTACAGTTTGTTCACATATAGGTACTATATATTAATATGTCATAGTAATATATTTATCATTGCATACAAAGGTTAGGAGAAGAAGCTCTTAGGCATTATTCCACACACACGACGCAAATACAGAGAAGTGAAGGAGAACGGGACCTAGGAGGATTTTTCTGGAGTAGGACAAACATACATCATCATCACTCACACATCCGCATGTCCCAGTTTGACCTGGGCTTGTGGTCTGTTTTTAGTGACTAAAACACAATAATGGAGACAAAGCATAAGGCACCTTTATATACTTTAACCTATTACCTAGTTCACTCACAACAACCCACCTGTGACATGTTTTTCTCACCTGATGCCTCAGCACTGAGCCTCTGGTAAGCTGTGATAAGCTATTTGGCACATAAGTGAGCTGTGATTGGGCTGGTGGGCAGACACATACACACACCCTTGACTGGTTGTTCAGGGAGGTTTTGACATGCTTGAAGCCATCGCAGCTGCTTTGGGATGTGACATTGAGTGAGTGAGGAGACACACCAGAGCTAACGCTGCACGGTCTTGCACTTACAAACTCCCTAGATTGTAAACACAAGACACTTTTGAATGTAGTCTATTCCATGTTCTCTTGGGGAATGTAACCACCATGACAACAAGGAGAAATACCACACTAATACTAATAAAAACAACTATTACAACAACTACATGCAGAATGAGACAAAAGAAACAGACAAAAATGTAATGAATGAAAAGCAGTGTCACTTACTTTGTCTGAGTTCATTGATACTCAACGTTTGCCTATATATTGTAAATAATGTACAAATACAGAGAATTACAAGTGAGTGCAAGCTGAACCTTTTGCTTTGGAGAGATTTTAAGTTAAAGATGATAACTTATGTTGTTTGTACTGTTTATATGTGTTTTGGAGTGAATTCCCGGAAATGAAAGCACTAATTATTGTTAGATACACCAAGCAACAATGTTTGGACTTGATTTTTTAAACTATTATTACAGGATGGTCTTGTGAAATGAATGCCACTACAAGGACATTTTCTAATGCTGTAATGCCGAGAAAGATTTTAAGAGAAAAAATAATTAATTAAGAGTTAATTCTTGCTACTTCACGAATGGCATATGCAATATTTACATTTCTTTACAGAGAGGTACCACATTTATAAATACTATGTTAATAATCTTTGTTAAACCTCAAAACATATTCTTTTTTTGCTCTTTGTAAATTTTTTCTGCCAATTTCTAATGGCAAGTTTTTTGTTTGTTTTTGCTATTGGAGCCTATTGGTGATTTGAGCAGTGTTTTTTGCATTTGGGTAACGTTCCTGTTGGGGTTTTATTGAGCATCTAAAGGTTATGATAATATGACGACCTAGCTTAACTTGCTGTGTCTTCCATTGTAAATACTTAATATCTTTTGCTTATTGTGATGCTACTAAGAGATGATAATTTAAACCTAGTGTAGTTCCCATGGCTTTAGACTGTATTGATTCTTTATAGACACATGCAATAAAGAATAACACTATTTAAGAAAGCTAACGTCTCTGTCTCCTCTCTCTTTCCTTTTTTAAATCTCTCATCTGAATGGCAGAATGGAGGAGCATCATCAGTCTCCTCAGACACCAGATGTCTCAATTCATTTTTTCTTCATTATATCAAATAAAATCTCTCTCTCAGCTTGTCCTTTGTGTCTTAGCCACTCATGTTCATCTGTTCCCTCTCTGCTAGTCTCCCTCAGTGAGTGTTGTTCTATGACTTCTGTCCATTAAACAACACCCCAGTGGCAATATGAACACATGAGAATAGTTAATTTAGCAGCCTCTAGCATTAGAACTGTTATTGTTTTGCCCCCCTCCACTCCCCCTTCCCCCATCCCCCCTCCCCCCTCCACTCTCCTTGTCCCTCTCCACTTCCCCCTGCCCCCCTCCCTGACCCCCTACAATAGTAATTAGACTAGCTTGTCATCAGCGACACGCAGAACTGTGAGGGAATAAATAAAAGCAGTGATGGGATTATGATCCTGTGCCATCAGCCGCATGCTGTCAGATTAGTCCTTCTCACAGCTGTGCTAATTAAAATGGTAATTAAGGCTGAGAAACCATCTATAATTGTAACAGTCTGGTTGGGATAAGTTTTTTTATGTGTGTGTTTTTTTTTTTGGGGGGGGGGGGGGGGTTATGTGTATGGGGGGAAGAGTTTATGGAGGGAGGTGATTGTATTTCACATGGATGTGTGTGTTGGGGGGCTGGGTGTATATGTTTGTGAGGGGGTGGGGCAGGTTGTTATTGTGTGCATGTAGCATGTGTGTGTAGGTGAGAGGAGGAGACATATTTGTGTGAAGACGTTTATGAGTGTGAAGAGATGGTTTTGAGGGACAACAGACCAAATCAAACCCAGTTCATTATTTAAGTTTTGTCCTGAGCAGGTAGAGCTGTGTGAAGTAGAGGCTTGAGAAGCACAGATTACAGAGAGGAATCACAGTAGCCTTGGTAAAATGAAAACATAGGAATGAAAGCAATGTCTGGTTATACCCCAGTTAGTAGTGAGGTGGTAAGAGAGAGGTTTAGGGTTAGATTCAATCCGTAGCGCTGAAGATTTGCGCTGTAACGCGATTTAAATGTTCTCGCTTTCGCGGAGACTGCATTCATGGTAAACGCTGCATATGCTCAATCGGAAATTACCTTTAAATTTCATTCGATCTACAGCGCGGATCTTAATCAGATTGAAGTGGGTAGGAGAGAGGGATAGAGGGATCAGTCCCTCCAGGATTCGGCAGGGTGACATTTGTGGGCCAAAATGCTTGATTTTGCTGACACAATTCTGAAATCATGCACGACAATTAACAATGATTTAGTGCAATTTGTCACGAAAATGCGCTGACGAGGGAAAAGGTTTGTTGACGGTGCGGTGATTGGTTAAAATTGCAAGCCCTCTGTTTGTAGTGCAGTGAGCGGACGGTTATATGCGGTAATATTGCGATGACTTGACTGTTTTATGCGGTAATAGTGATTGGTCAAAGTTGCAAGCCCCGGCAACATATGCAGGGAATTGTTGATTTTGCCAAAAATCTTGCAATCCTGAAAGAACTGAGAGATTCTGACAGGAGAGGGCTCACCTGTTCTCTCTAAATGAGGTCCCATCCATCACTTCTCATCTCCCTCTCTCCCTCTCTCCCTCTCTGCTCGTTAGGCCTAATTAAGCACACTAATTTGTCCCATTAAATAAAATAGGAATGTATCAGGCTAAACACAGCCAAAATGTTCTCTATGGACACACACACACACATAACGCACACACATGCACGCACGCAAACACTTTTAATCCATCATGACTGTCATATTTACAAAATATTGTGTGAAAGGGTAATACCATGCAGTAGCCTGTATTGTGAAATATGTGTGAGGCCCAGCTCAGGTCAAGTCCCCTGTGTGTACAGTGAGGGGTTACTGAAGGATATAACAGAGCGTGTGAGACATGAGCCAGATACAGTCAAGACTGTCGTGAGGAAATGGAATGTTCAGCCGTACCGGAACTAATCAGCATTGGGTTACTAACGCAGTTGGGTTCACTATGGTGTCTGTGGTGTGGTGTTTTAGCCCAGGTTGACTCAAAACCCACCATAAGGGTTGAGCTATGAAAAAACATACCCAGATCAAAGAACAAGTTAAATTATTAATAAAACCCTCTTCTCCAAAGCATTTAACTGAATGTAGATTTGAGTATGGGCAGTGGTGTAAAGTACTTAAGTAAAAAATACTGTAAAGTACTACTTAAGTAGTTTTTAGGGGTATCTGTACTAATTATATTTTTTGACAACTTTTACTTTTACTCCACTACA